TACAATTTCGTGTTACAGTTACAAATTAGGAAAAAATTCAGACGGTTTAATATAAATGAATGTATAATAATTCCGAGGACGCGATAGCTCACCTATACACACGTTTCGTTCATCTCCGCAGAAGATGGACGTTGAAAAACAAGTCGAGCACCTTTCCATGCAAATGGGCAACTTGATCAAGTGGTTCAGGAAATGAAGAACTAGGTCGGGAAGGTGGCCAGTTTTGCGTTCGGGACCTCAATTCGTTGTGGCACTCCGAAACCACAAAAACGCTAGCCCGAATGCTGGCGTTGTCGAGGATGAAGAAATTGAAGATATTCAAGGGTTTGGTTTCTCCTGCCCTAACAAAGGAAGAATTGAAAATCTGTGACCATGAATTGGTACTGTGGGAGGTACGTGGGAGGTACGTGGGAGGTACTGCTGAGTCAAAATGGAGATCATGCCGACATATACTCCCGAACGATTGGTATAAAAAGGATGGAAGTGAAGGACTTATGCCTCATGTCTCAGAAGGTAGCAGACTCATTGAAACACAAGGACATTGCAACAATTTACCGGTGGAATTTCGATGAATGGCAAAACGTCCTTGTTTTGCTTTACAGAAATAATGGATGGTCTCTTTTATGTAAATATTTTGCAAGCCCAGCTTCTTCCGTTTGCCCAACAGATCTATGGTAGAAGATGGCGTCTGCAACAAGATAATGATCCTAAGCACACTTCACGTGTTGCAAAGGAATTTTTTTCTCAAAACAACATTCATGTAATGGAGTGGCCGTCTAACAGCCCAGATCTGAATCCCATTGAGAATATGTGGCAGTTAGTTAAAAACATTGTGGAAAAAAAGAATGCCTAAAGATATTAGCGAGTTAAATCAATTTATGGGGATAGAATTTCGTATTAAAATTTCTATACTTAATAAAGTAGTTTATAAGCTTTAAAATAAGTCTACTTTCATATGTCTCCGTTGGGCAGTTGCTGAGATATACAAGTTTATTTGTGCGTCATTTTTTTCGCAACACACTGTATATTGATCAACATTTCTGCCTTTCATATTTCAGAGGAAATCAACCATTTCTCCACCCAACAGACAGCAGGATCAGAATTTCTCCAACATGTAGGCAACCCATAATCAGACTCTCTATTTCAAGCAATTGATTCTACATCCAGAAGTATACCCCTATTCTGTAGATATGTCTTCTGATTAAAGTATACATACCATTGAGAATTTTTTCTTTGATATCCCAACTCCCAAAATATTTAAATATTCAGAATACTTCTGCAAAACTATATTTGCATATTTTTTAACACATTATAATTATGACCCATGACTATTTTTCTGATTCTTTATTTTTTCTACACTAAGTATATGGGGTCTTACTTTATATATCGAACTAGTAGGTGGTTGAACTCTGGCATCATTGAGATTATTCCATCCATTATTTAGTGAGAAGTGAAGTATGCACTTTATATTTACACAGTTTTTTTTCACAGATCCGATAATAATAAGACAGAGGCAGAAGTTTTGACCAGGTAAGTCCCTATAAATAAACTTACCATATTTCTTCCCTGTTACTAATTCTGTGAATTCTTTGAGTTCTAGATAATCAATAAGAAGAGTCGGGACATATTAATAACCAGATAGCATATAGCATGTATATAATGAACTAGATAGCATTTGCCTCCACAAATAATTGAACGCATTGTTGGTATATTTTTTGTCTCCTCTGATCTCTATTTAGTACAATGCTAACGAATTCGGCCTTCTAAAAAGAAGACAAGGAAAGCTGGCTAGATTGTCATAACCTATCTCAGCTATTTTATTGCAATGGGAATCGGTCAGAATCGCTAAGCTGGCTGGCATACGATATCAAATGATGTATAAAATGCATTCGACCCATTAAACTCGCGATAAGAATAACTGGGCGTCATAACCTGAATCGGGAAGTATCTTATAATCGAAATTAACCACAATCGTCAAACTGATATACTTTATATATATTATATACCACATACAGCAGCCTGATGACGAAAATCGGTCAAGATCACCAAACTGCTATATGACTCTTGAATGACATAACAGGTGTCAAATTTCTGTCATCACGACACATGACGATGGTGTCAAATTTCTGCCGTCACGACACATACCTGAATGGGAAAAGTGGAAATAACATAATTACGTTATTTCCACTTACTATATGCCTTGCTTCTATTTTTGTAATAAAGTACGCGTTCTTGTATTAATAAATTGTCACTTGTCTCATGTAATATGAAAATAAAATTAAAGCCTAATTACCAAATCTGGTATAATTGTCATCAAAAACACGATTAGAGAAAGCTGAAAAACTTTAATAACCACATCAACGATCAACAAAAGTTAAACTGGCTATAAAAATTAAATGTCAAGGTCAACAACCGGAGACTTCTCCACGATTAGCGTAAGTAGTAAACTGGACACATTAATAAACTTATAAGTATACAATATCTAGGCTATCCAATTAATTACTGACATATTTAGCTTCCTTGTTTTTTAGAACGGTGAAGGGTTAGGCCAAGCAAGTATAAAGCATTTGCCTTCTTTCGATAACACCCAGAAATTAATTTGGTAAGAATCATATATGACGAATCAAAGCGACTTTTCGACGCAAGCGTTCGTGTCGCATTAAACCAATTTGTTGGAAAATGTTAATATTAAAGCGTTTAGTCTAAAATATTTTTTGTCAAACTAGATTAAACTTTTCTTTTCTTTAGCCAAACGAAATATGAATTGTTATAATATTGGTTCTCTCAGTCTACAATGCATGAATACGTAAAGTAAGATGCACACTCCTGACGAATATCCCAAATTTCTTCACGCATCACATGCAATCACTACTGATTAGCTTATGTTTTTTAATATGAATGGTGTGTAACGTGGACAAAATGACGAATTTCTATTTGTGCTAATGGGGGGGACTCTAATTCGTATTTTAATATGCCCGCATTTTAGGCTTGCTCGGGACAAGAAAAACAAACATTTTATTGCAATACAGTATTTCAATGTGCCATGAGTGTAAATTAAGTTTGAATTAATATACTACGTTTGCGCTTTCACGTTTATGTATTTATCATTTGTAAAAAGTGATGGCTCTTTGCTTTGTTGGGTATGGTTGGAAAATCGCGCATTCTTCGGAAGGCCGAGAGCCCACCAATGAACATGTTTTCACATTTAAGTTCGTAATGAAAATTTTAGAACTTTTAATTTGTGTTTTCTACCTATTCAGTGTAACGGGAAGACGGAAAGTTGTTCCGCTATACAGGTACTGTGCAGATGATGGCTAGTCTTTGAATACAGGCTTTCATACAATACAATATAGTAATTGGCCAAGAGTGGCCGATTGTAATTATGTATTGTGTTAGTTATGAAATTAGCTATGTATTACTAATAACCTTATTTAAATGACAAAAACAGAACGGATAAATGACGATATCGTTTCACAATGATCCAGACTCAATTGTGAGCCACATGGAGATGGCAACTTATAATGAAAAAATTGCTAGTTCACGCACGACATTTGGAAACCAGCAAATTATTTGCCATTTTTGTCGAATACCCCCAGTAGTTACTGTTGTTGTATCACGAAGCATATCGATTGGTCTTGTTGGCCAATTATAGTAACAACCAAAATTCCCATACCCAACATTATATGACTAGCTATACTGTATGTCCATACAGAATATGTCCGTCGCCGAGTATTAATATTATCCACACTGTTGACTTTCTCCTACATTTTACCCTACGAGCCGCCGACGCTTTTGCCGCACGATTGCGATTTTTACTCTCCAGAAAACAATCACAACTGAACAAAGACCCAACCTTATTTATCTATTAAAGTTTGGTCAAACAATATTTAATTGGCGGAACTTATGACGCCCTCACTTTAACACGTGCAAGGAATTTACACAGACATATTTATTTACAAAATTCACCTCTGTATTATTATCCACGCAACATTCGATCGATTGTTCCCCGCATAATGCAAGTATTATGCATACATTTCATTCATTATTAATGTCATTTTAGACTTGGCAGTGAGAATGACAATGCAAGGCAAAAGACCGTTATGTTTCCAAAGCAGTACATACGCAGCGAGATGTCTCGTTCGTTTGCCGTTGATTGTAGACTGAACATCACGGCTGCAAAAGAGCGGCCAGCTGTAAATGCCCAGAGATGCGATTGGTTTTCTTGACCACGACGGATTTCCTTTGTCTCGAATGTCAATTGCCCGTGCTGTTATTTTAAGCAAGTTTCCGATTAGTCGATATGCATTTCATTCATTTGGGTGATGGAATAACGTGAACGCTCACGCCTAGCTCTTAGAGAATAGCACAGTCAGGGAAAAAATAGAACATATCAACAAATTGGGAAATCGACATGCTCTGAACCATAAACATTCATATTAAATTATTATTTTAACTTTAGATTGTTCCTTATTAATATACGAATTAATATCGATTATTTATTATTTGTGTATCTTTTACTGCATGTCAACTATTAATAATGAAACTTTCCATATGTATAGTATTCATTATAGCTCATACGCGTTGTACTATAAGAGCAATATAAATAATAAATCAAAATACTCAATACAACCCAGTTCACGCCAGTATTTATTTACAGCTGCAAGCCTTCAAAAACTCCTACGCTCCTCAGAGCCAACCATAAACAAAACCCAAATTTGATCAGTTTGACATATCCAATTAAGCGAACATACTACTTACCCTGAATTATACTCTCAACAAAGAATTATTTAAACGAGAGCTGGCGGATGCTTGGATCAAAAAAAGAAACCAAAAAAAACCTCAACTTTTGTGGTTATATTTATTCCCCATTCATAGTACTATTCGGCATAGTCACATTATACGGACACTTTTTGAAATTACTCTATCAAAGCAACTCAAAAAAGACCCCCTCCCCTCTCCACATAATACACTTACCCATACCTAAACCAACACTCGAAACCATGTCTCCAGTAACAACGCAATCCCCACGACAACGTAGTCAATCCCCTTACAATAAATCTCGTCAAACTCAAACTCAAACTCAAACTGCCGTTATATACGCTGATCTGGACAATTCGCATGAAAAAGTGATCGTGCAATTCACAGACGGGTCTCAAATAGACTTTCCCGTCCCTTCTGCCCAAGACATACGCGATCGCTTTTTCTATCGAAAAGCCAAATCATCTGACAAACCGGCTAGACCTCCGAACAAATTCTTCATCTTTCGTACCATGCTACAGGGTAGCATCGACGCCTTGAAATTACAAGTCCCAATCGTTTCCGGGTTGGCTAGTGAAGTATGGAAAAAATGCAGCGATGACGTTAAGGAGTTATTTACCAAGCTGGCTGCTAGAGCAAAAGCCGAACATAGTGAAATAAATCCCGGTTACGTATATAAACCGTTTCGGAGGAACAGCAGCGAAAGTTCGGATGATAAGGCAAGGGCAGAAGACAGTCATGACGAGAACTCGGAACGAACGCAAACCGAAACGACAGAAACCACGGAATCATTGCCGTCGAGTCCATCCACTCTTACCCCATATACTCACTTTCCATTATGTCAAAGTGGTGGGTATTACATGATGCCTGAAGCTCTCCGCAAAGAAGCATGCGCTTTTGACGAACAACTCGAGGGCTCACATATTCTCCTCAGTGGATATATGAACGCTTATACATGCGGTGATTATTGTAATGACGCCGGCAATTACCCAGACACACCTCCGGTCGAAGAATCTCCGTATCCAGTCACGTACGATTATCCGACATTCGATGTCAAACATTTAGCTATCAGCACCATGAACAATGGAAACGTAACATCTTGTGAGATGAACAATAACAGCAACGAAAGCAAATTCAGTATGCAACCACTCGTTTATCAAGCACTCGATGTTTCCTCTGGCTGCTATTCGTATCCCTACAACTACATACCCGAGTATACATCAAACATACCACATGACACTTCAATGTCTTTCGCAGTCTCATCCTCGGTCTTTTACCTCAACGCAATCCCACCATCATCTGTTCCCTACGGTCAATCTCATACGCCATCTCTCTCTCCGACGTCCACCATTCCATACAGCGACTCGTCCTCGATATGTTATAGTGCATCCGATAAGGTTGATGATGAGTCCAGTGAATAATTATGACTGGGAATTTTCATCCGTGATAAGTTTTGGAAATGGCAATGGAAATTAAGTTGATAGCCGGGGAAACGGAGCAAACATTTCGTTGAACCATTTGCCTTGATACAAACAATTTTCTGTTGGCGGTTGTTGTTTTTGTCGCGTTGTCAGTCTGTCTGGTTGTCGGGTCGTTCGGTCTGTCTGGATTGGTTTCTTTCCCTAGTTCGGTTTCCTCTTTCATATCCAAAGTGCTATGGTTATTTGTGATTTTAAGACTCTACATTTTACTTGGGTTTTTGACAATGTGTTGCACAAGGCTTATAATATTAATATAAGATATACGCTAAGAGCCAATAATTCACACTAAGTTAGAGATAAGGATATATGAATATAATTTTGATATAGTTTGTAACATATGGTTAAAACAAGTTAGATCACGTATTAAATAAGAATTTATATTTTAAGAATATGGTAAGTTTTAAGGACAATTGTTTACACGCGCAAAGCCTCGGAAAATTACATACATAAATAACAACAAAATTCCCTCTCAGAAATCTGTCAATCTCGTCCTTGTTCTCTCGATTGTTTGTTGTTTTTTTCTCTTCCTTGACGTTTTCCACATAAACTTTGCAACTATGTCAAATTAAGGAGGGGAACATGCATGGTATGGGAAAACAAAAGAAACTCACGAGTAAGCGAAGGAAAAGATCATTTGTATTAATATAGTTTGGTCCACTGTTGATAGATGGGAATGGAAGCGAGCAATGAATGTGAGATAATGAATGGTGAGAAAAGAATGTGGGAATCTTTAAACGGAATCTCCCGGACGAGAGAATTTTTGTGATGTATGATGACGCATTCTAAACAAATAGTCATGTGATGTAGATCATTTCATAAAACGCACGTTTTATATTGGAGGCAGCTTTATTTGAATTTTACGATTAAAACTAAAAATCTAACGTCTCCAATTATAATGTCTTTTTTTTTTATATAGTATATTATTATATCAGATAAAGACCTCTGATATTTCACAGTGAAATGAAGAAGAAGCTACATTTTTTACAGAGCAGTCCCGAGACTGCCTGTGAAGCAAAATAACCAACTATTTCGAAATATTGCAAAAAAGATCTATTTCAAAATATTTTACAAACAACAATTCTCACATGTCAATCTCATCAAAGAAGTTTTTAATTTCCCTTGCTACTAATTTCTGAGTTGCGCTCAATCTTCGCTTGCTGGATCTTCGTGTTTTCCTTGCTTTCTTTGCGCCAGTAATGCTAATATCGGCACAGTTCAAGTATAACTCACCGGTCAATGCCGCTTCCCATCTCCATCTGAGCACGCACTTGTCGCAATTAATGTTTGGCAATTGAACAGGGGCCTGGAAATCAGTTCCGACAGCGTCAGCGCAGTTGGGCAATTGTTGCAACACGGTAAAGGTCTGTTCTCCATCGGTCGATAATTCAACAAAGCATTGTCCCTTATGAGCAGCACCGATTTCCCATTGAATATTGATGCTCTGACCAGCGTTGAATGTTGACTGTACTGGACCGGCTGGCAATCCCGCGCATGGACTGACTTTTGTTGGACCTCGAGTGATAGTTAATCCGTTGTTTTCATCTCCGGGAGCGATGCGAATTTTTGGATCGAACATGTGTCCATGGGCAGAGACGGATGAGAGGAAGAAGAGTGCGAGGACGGTCAAAGCGAATAGAGTTTTGGAAGACATTATTGTTATAGGTATGGTATTAACGATTGAAATTAGAATCAAGAATTGGAGAGATTACACAGTAATCGGTAAGTTCGATTAGTTTGACTAGCAAACGGGGAGAGAATGAATGATATGTTTGTATGTTGGATCTTGCGTTGGATGGATAGAAGCGCAGCTTCTTCTTCTTCTTGTCAAAAGAAAGTGGTTGATGGAGATAGCATGTCGGCAAGGCAAGCTCTTTTATATTTGAAAACGCTCGGCTATGAATTTATGTGCGACATACATAGTTGTATATTTTTCAATATGTTGCGTATAAAGGTATTATGTAACCCTGCACTTTCTTTTTGCTATTTTTATCCTCGGCCGTTGCACAATTCATGCATATATGGAGAAAAAGATGTTGGTTATACATTATAAATGTTCTTTGTTCGTCAATGTGATCGTAACACAGGGCAACATTTCTGGCACTGCATTTATACCTAACAAAAAAACCCTTTTGTTACTAATGATAATCATTTTATTATTGTTCGCATGTAGGAAACAAAGAGGAAACAAGATGCACTTGTCAATGATTTTTAGACGATTATCACAAAGGGGATGGGCCCGATCGATGGCTAGTTCATGCCATTTGCCAAAGTCTTGGTTGCCTTTTCAGTATTATAGATAACTATCAGGCGCACGCCATGGACTTTCTGATATGAACCAATTATTGTATGTCAGCAGGCCAACGGCAGCTGCCGATTCAACCTGTCTCTTCTTTCTCTTGTCCTCTCTTCTACATTCGGTAAGTAACTTGTTTCAAATCAAGCGATTCAACATCAGTAATAAGCCTTGAAATTTGACGCCTTTTAAGCCATGTTTGGCTTTCATCGGTAAGAATGCTGATTTTGACTATGAAGCAATGCAATGCATTTTTGGTAAATAAAACCCTTGATGTCTGTACGTTTCTTCGCTTGACATTAATCAAAGAAACCGTTCTTTATCTTTCCACTCCATCCAATTACAAACTGATCTCTACGATTAACTTGTAAACAAATTGGTTTCATATTCATTTGTGCGACTCGGCGGGAGACTATTATTTCCATGTGCAGCTTATTTGTCATAAACAGAACGTTCTGTTGAGTTGCCTAAAAATGTGATATACGGAACTATTTTTAGGGACCCGCGTGACTTGTTCGTAGGGCTGAGCAAGCATATTGGCAGCCAATCATGAAACTTAGCCAGACAGGTCAAATACGGTAATTGGGGTTGCTCGTTAGATATTACAAGATTTGGTACAATCGCTGTTTGGCAATTGTTGTTGATCCTTTTTAGTTAACCAAACCAAATAAATTATTTGTACGTTACTGGCAGATTTTCTATTGCGCGGGTACTTGGCGAATGGGTGTCATCTGTGAAACAAGTTTGCGATTTAAGAAATTATAGTAAAACCTCTGAACTAGATTTAATTGAAACATTCTTCGTACTAAACTTTTGTTATCCGCCTCCATGTGATTGATTTCTCATAAACTTTGTACTATGATTCTGTGAATTCAATTGACTCGTGATTGTGAAGATTTTCTATGACTTGGAAGAACAAACTTTATTGTCATTGACTTTTCCCGCAACTAACAGAATGGGAACGATACAGTTAGTCCTTTGATGTCGGAAATCTGACAGAGAATTTGCGGCGGAACATGTTTTGTGTATTTGTTTATTAATCGCGCAAGGTTGCGTGAACGCTTCAAATGAATTGGCAGCCATTGGGCGTTAGAAATAAGCACACATTGTATTCTACTATGCATTCAAAATATCTAGTGTTAGTCCGCCTCCCACGATTGTCCCTTCTAAGATGTATTATAACAACTTTAAGACTAAAACGTCCTATTATTAATTAGAAAGTGAATTTTATTTTTCTAATTTTTTTAGGAGCTGCTTTGTGAATCTATTTCAGTAAGATTGAATTTCGTTTCATCGGACAGCTGTTATTGTGATACGGAATTATGTTAGGACGATAGTTTTGCTATCGATGCACGTCTGAATGTCAATAACTTGCTGCTGAGAATTCTATACGATTGTTTTTTTTTAGACAACAAGAATAACAGCAAAATATCAAACTTTTCAAAGCATGGGAATGAAAACATTGCTTGATTAAAGAATTGTAGCTCTTTCTTAAAGAACTTTCCTTTTTGTTTGTTTATTCATATTAATACAAAATACAATCACAAGAAACTTTATTTTGCTATTAAACTTTCTATTGCCAATAAAAAAGCAGCAGACTTGTCGTATTTTTCAATATACTGTATAGCCATTGTTAATTAAATAAAGTATAATATTTAAGACGCAATTTAGTTTCCCAAAGGTGTTGTCAACGTTTATTTCTTATTAACGCGATTTATGACACGTTTTGCGCCATCAATCATTCATAAGGCTTATGTAATTTGTAAACATTCCGTCATCGCAACTGTTTCCATTGTCCATTACATATTATATTTATAGAAATAAGGTATACAACCGATTCCAAGAAACGCAAGGGTTGGTTAGAACTTCCTTATTAATAATTGTTTTTCTTTGTGCGCTACTATATTGATGGATCTTTTTTATATTTACAACTTGTTAATGTTGTTTCTCTTGTTTTCGTTTTTTCTTTCGCTGGATAAAATGTATGTGGGTTAATTTCTCACGGTCTTGGGAAAATATATAATTGACTTTTAAAAATGTATTATTAATAATTAAATTGTTAAGCAATCGTCAGGCACGCATATGTCACTTCCATATACCGTATATTCATTGCAGCTCAATTATATGATTCTCGATTTTTCACTTTCAGAATCTATACAATCAGGAACTAGTATTCAGGAATTGAGTATTGGTGTTAATCTGACCTGAGAGTTGATATGTGCTCTCGATGCGTAAACGTCTAATGATTGTAAGTCGCAACAAGAATTTAAAATCTACATCTAGCGCGATCAGAGAAGCCGATTGATGCAAAGTTATGTTGTTAAAGGAATAAGGGGGGACTTTTTTGTATGTAATTTACCACTATATTTAATACTAAACCATAGGGATGCAAGCGAGATTGCAATCCCCAAAATACCACCAAGTTTATGTTTGCGTAGATATGCGTTCCCCAAAGACAGTGACTATCATTTGGACATCCGACAAGAGATGACGCCAACGTAGCGTTGTAGAGTAGATACCTGCAGCAAAGAGTCATACTGCTGCAGTGAAAATCGGGTGTAATAGTTGCATTAAATTCGTGAGACAACGAGAGTTTGATGGTCGCAGAAAGCAACAAAGCTTTTCATATACACACAAATCCTATACAGACATAAGAATACGAGATCGATCCCATAATACACACATTCAACAAACCAACACGTCATTGTAACAGAATAAGCGAGTATGTAGCTCGTCATCGTCATTGACACCATCATAATGCCCAGTATTAAAGTAGTCTACGCCTCAATTATAGTGAGATATTCAAAATATCATATTTCTTCTCGGAATATTACAGGAGTTAACAACACTGTTAACCATCTAATCTCTTTCTCCATTCTAATCCACATCCTCCACCCCCTGCTCACATCTGCCTATGCTCCCTATATTCTATACGCACATTGAAATAGTAATATGTTAACGACGTTGTTCAAGTATATTCCCGGTTCCTGCCATATACCCGACATCAAATCTCCTTTTCTGATCTTACAGAATGAATCACATGTATGAATCAAACACGGTCATTAACGAGCCAAGTTGTGGCAGTGTGCTGGGGTGTGTCACTTCTGTTGCCGCGTGATTGCCATGAACCATCATCAGGATGTATTACGAAACAGTTGAACAGCGCACAAGTCTTTATGACCAATGCAGTAACCAAGTGCACCCTAATCGATCGGTATAACTATGTAAACGGTGAACTTTTATGTCTCTGAAGATTTAGTCAGCACGTCTTGCTTATACATATCATACATCGTATACATACTCAGGAATCTAGTCGACCCAGTTTAGATGAGTAGTATGCCCACTCCGAAAACTCCATTCACCGTATCTTCTCACTGACAGAGATTAGTTTTCCAACAGTATTTGAGATCGATTATTAAGATATCATCAGCATCATAGTTCTAAAGAACAAAGAAGTATATTTAGGTTTATGCTCAAATAGTTGCGGAGTCGTGCAACACATTGTTACGTAGTAACAACAGCGTAAACCAGCGTTCAGTCTAATAAAGAACACAAAATTCACTTGCACGAATCGTCGTCCCACACATTAATATGCTTCTCCTCACATCCTTATTTACATTATAAACGCAGTTTGCCTACGTAAGTTGCGTTGAAACGGTTCCTCATTTCCGTGCATGATGTTGCCTGCTGTGAACATGCGTATTACAGTATTAATAGTTCTCTCAAAATGTATGGTTATTGTTACACATTGATCGACCTTCTGCATCTCGCGTGATGGCGTTATACCGGTATTAACTTTCGCTCATTTGTAGGGCATAGACGGTGGTGCGTTACGGATCTCTTTATTAAGAAATAAATATTTACCGTATCTACTGTTCGCCATCGGGAAGACCATTTTCATAAGAGTATATAATAAATGGCATTATGAGGCTACATCACTAACATTCAATTCAAAATTATCAGTATTGTATTAATAACGATCCGATACTTCTTCAGTGGATAAAATCCCGCATCCTCTAATAACACAAGCGTGTGACATTACCGTAAGAGACATGTCTATTCCGAGTATTGAACCGTCAATCAAAAAGCCTGATTTATTATGTTTAATGTTTATAGGAAATGACGCCGAGGATAATAATCGTACTATCTTTATGATTGCCAAGGTGCTAATGCCGCAATTTCCTCTTAAGAAGTACGAATGGGGATACATTAGATAATGAATCTTTTCATCAATCAATAATAATAACACTAGTAATTTTTTCACCGTCATACTCGAAATTGACTTTTTATTCTGTCCGTGCAAGGCTAAATACGTGCAACAATGCAAACACCTGTTCTACGGCCCGATTTTTACTGGGTAATTTAACTAACGCAACATCGAGACTGGTATCTGATCTGGAGCCTTTATCAGCTACAGATTTGACACGGTTTTATGGATTTTTGTACCCGCCGTCAAGTTGCGATCTTCCGATTCGCCATGGAGTTATACTCTAATTGACAATAAACAATGTCTACGTTTTCCAATTAATGCCAATACGCCAAACTTTTTTTTACCAGATGATGTCAAATGATATCAACCCGATTTATACCTGGCACGGATCATAATGTACATCTTTATTGTTCATAAATACACGAGGCATAAATAATATACGCCAATATATCAAATTTCTATCTATATAATACACCCCACATAATCCATGATCATCAATGCCGGCTTGCAGAACCATCCTCGTATAATCTCTCTAGCTCCTTTCTTGCCTCGTCCTGTCTATTCATTGCCATATACACCTTCACTCTAGTTACTCTAGCAAAATCGTCCATGGGATCCAATTTTAAAGCGTCGTTCAGATCGCTTAATGCTTCATCGAATCTCTCTAATCTAAAGTATGCCGCTCCCCTGCTAGCCAACGAAAAAGTCCTATCATGCGGCTCTCTCAACTCCAGCGCTCTATTCAAATCCTCCACCGCTTTTATCGAACTCGGAATTGCACTTCAGCTCGATCCGAACAATGCAATAGCTCTCATTGGTCGGGGAAATCTTTTCCGATGGCTGGATCAATATGAACAGGCTATGGTCGATCTGAATAAGGGACTCGAGCTTGAGCCGGATAATCCGTTT